TAGAAATAAATTTATCAGCTATAAATACGGCTTGGACACAAAATTTACAAAAATCGAAAAACTAGTTAATGACTTATTTTCATCATGACAAGAAGGTAATTAGGGATATCTATAAACGGCTCTGTTGATTCAGTTACCCTCTTTCCCCTTTTTTCATTCCATATATAATCACCTTGCATTTGGTTATTGTTTCAACGCCTTGACAGTTAACATGCTCCAGTGATTATAGGACTGACCCCACATACGGTACCGTTCCTTTTCTCTTATAATACCCTATTCGTGTTCAAATTTAGGACTCCTCTAAGATACCGCTTTCAAACCTTTTCCTTTCAGCTCACGTTTCTGTACTTTGCCATTCTTTTATTTTTCCTATCTTTTCTTTAACATTCTACCTCTTTAACTTTTACACATAAGTATTGTGGTAGGCGTTTATTTACCACGTTGAATCCTGACGTACTCCTTGGTTCCTACTGTTCCTCACTTATTGAAGAGCCCCGAGGGANAGGGACAGTAGGAACAAAGTGGTTCGTCTAAGTGAGGGGCGAAACGAACCACTCTATAGACATATTACCATCTAGTTAGAGATTCCTTTAGAATCGCAACTGGTCTAGTTCTTCTTCTCATCATGAACGCTCATATTCTGTGGGTTCTTCGTACCGTCTAAAGACTTAAGGATGTGCTTATGTCCCTAGCTGATCGCCATGCCCTCAAAGAGGTCTATGAAATTTCAGAATTGTTATGAATGGCACATACTGGGCATTGTCCTTATTCTCTACCGAACCCAGCCAGGACAAGATGACCGGCTTTTTTCTTTCAGGATTCGTCGAAATACCAGCAGGACTAATCGCTATTGCAATTTAGTAAGGTTTAGTGGGTTACATGGCACGTAGAAGACACGGTAAAGGGAGCAGGCTTTCTTCGGCGACGAATAGATCAGCCAATGTTCTTTTATTTTTCTGAGTAGGAGAAAGAGTGAAAGAAAGACCCGAATGGATACACTGCACCCATCCGACGGCACATTATATTCTAAATTATATGAAAGGGAATATAAAATGCAATATCGAAAGCTAAACAGAATTTGGTGCAGTGAGGCCAGGAGTGCTAGTGTGTCCAATACTAACAGTCGTCTGAAATATAACCTACTGGTATAGCCCTGTACGTGCTTCTTAACATACATGAGATCACAACATCGAATGCGGTATCGGCAGGACTCATCAAACTCGAAGTCGGACAGCGAGCAGCACTTGGAAGAACTTATGAACAAAACATTGTGGTCTGGGAACATTGGGATAGTATTTCGGGACAATTACTGCGGTATATCCCAGCCAATATGACTAGCACTGGCATCGTATTCAATAAGTTGCTCCGGTGTTCAGGAAGGTCGTGAGATGAAACCCTTTTGCGTCACATCTTTATAAACCACAGTATCAAATGATGGATGCTGGGCACCACATATAAGTTACTCTGCGAGCACGATCCTGATTTCCATCTCTCCCGTCCAATTCGACTTGCATTCACAATCGTAGTGGCCTAGTCTTGATCAGCTTGAACGAGTATCGATCCTAGATCGATTTCGGACCACGAGTGTGTGTTAGTGTGCCACCTGACACTACACCACCTCTGCCTATGTTAAAGCAAAGCGATATTTCTGGAGCAACCCAAGACGGAAGAAAGTATCTCACTACATTCGTGCTCAATATATTGGATTAGGTACTTAGAAAATTGCCTTTTTTTNTTTTTTTGAGGGGACCAATGACCACCTTGACGAGGGCTCTTAAGAAAAAAAATCTCAAAAAAACGAAAAAAACTTTTCAGTGCCGGCGACATACTAAGCAAGGATCGCCTTTTCAGTATGATGACTAGTCGATTTCTCTATCATAGTTCATTAAGCTTGTCCAGATATGCGCTTTGTCAATACAGTGCTCGCCGTAAGAATTCGAAATTCGTGCGGATACAAAACCTCCCGTCTTTTTTGTCCTTTCTTCATAATTGTCTTTTCTGCATAAATCGGTACAGAGTATAGTATTCCAAGAGCTTGATTGGTTTCTGAAGATAAAGTGTTCAGCATTCATCTTGGAGTGCGTCACGTGATCGATTTTGCTCGGTACAACGTGAAAATGATTGACTCATTTATTCAGTCCCCATCGTTCGTTTCTAATATGGGGGCTGTAGGTGGCTGCATCTACCGTCTCTGCACCCAACACTCCTTCTTGCAGGTTCCACTGAGGCTATGGTACCATTTTACAGCAAAATGATTGAGTCGATTTTTTGACATTTTCCAAACTTTGGAGGGGCTTTTCTCCGACGTCTGAGGAGATGGTGTTGAGTCGCTGTATTATTGTAGACATCTCTTTGTGCTAGGCTAGAATGTTATGGTACAACATAGACCAAAATTTCTCACTTGATTTCTCACTTGTACGCTGTTAGAGTAACCTTGAAAAATGCTATGGAATGATATACGGTTCTACCCATAACAAAATCCTCCCTTCATAACCTTTTTCTGCTCTATGCCTGGCGCTGAGTGGTTTCTTGCTGATTTGAATACGCATGTGGCCGGGTACTGTAGTGGCGCGTTATTTGAGTGGTGGTTTGAAGGACTTTGACTGGCAGGCGGCGGGGTTCCGTATTGGCGCTCACTGAAGGTGGTCCTGAGTAATGACTACTTGAGTGAGGAGATGGATTCACAATTGTATGGTTACTGTGAATGTTGGGGCATTTTGAACGATAATTATTCGAATGCGGATCACATTCGCAGGTCGGAGTACTGAAGCGACGAGAACG